ATATATATATATATATATATATATATATATATATATATATATATATATATATTTAGCTTGACTTTCACTTTAACTAAAAAAAAAAGGAAAAATAGCAACTAAGGGTAATTTCATTCCCGTTCAAATGTACATCACTAATAATAAGTGAGTAACAGTTTATGTACAATTAGGAAACACTTTTGGAAGGATGTATACCAGCAATGGTAAGGAGAAAATACCATTAGTGGTAGCAAACAACAAAACTTAGGGTTTACCAATCATAGTTAGGAAACATCATGAACTCAGGACAAGAAATGAGTTGTAACGGTTGTGAACAGTGCCACAAATAATTTTCAGCAGTCCAGGGATTTGATGTCATATATTTGCTAATCCCTACAGAGACATCTACAATGTCTGGCAGTGGAGGGGATGGTATTGGATGGAGAGGTCTGATGATCAATGGTGTTCATTCAGGGAGGAGTTTATAGCCGAACGCAGCACAGACAGGAAGTATTCCCTCTCCTCTTCTTGCTCCATTGCACAAACCCAAGAGCGGTGTGGTCCGTCCAAGACGAAGGCATGACACACATCTGGGTTTAAAGGAAAAAGACCGCTGTGTGTCAGGAATTGATGGGGGATCAAACAAAAAGGAATACTTTAAATAAGGATATAAGATTCTCTTGTAAACTCACAGGGTGTGTGCAGGATTTCTCGGACGGTCAGACTGCTTGTAGCAACAGAGGCCAGGAAGGTGTGAATGCTCCGATGAGACACAGTGAAAGGGGTATGCTCTAACTTTCTTCGAGTCAGAACTAAAGCATCGTTGAACAGGAACAGTCCCACGTCGCATATATGCTCAAAGGTCCTATGTTATGGAACAAAACCAAAGGGTCTTAAGATCTACAAATAGCTTCTTACTGACTAAACCAAACTGTAAATGCTTGATTTCAGCTAGTTGTTATAAAGTCTGACAAAAGGGTACATGCAGGTGTGTATGCCCCTTCTCTTTGCTGGTAGCCATAGTTTCCAAGTCCCCTTAGTCACGCTAATACTGTGAACCTGTATCTGTGTACTACTGTCAGCTTTAGTAACATAAAGGAAAGAAAACAACTGGAGGAAAGTAAAATGGCTGTGATTGGCTACTTTTCAGGAAATCTTGCCCCTTGAGACAGCACTTTTTACTT